TATATATATCAAAACATATATAATCTTGTGTACAAGTGTTTCTCCGCTGTGGTATAGCGTGTATTTGTGTTTGCCTCAGTGTTTGAACGTGTAGTTACTTGTTCTTGATATTGGTTTGGAAGTATCTGTATCTTTGTTGTGTTCATATCTGTGTGAGTTTATCATAAAATATGTGTATTTGTGTGTGTGTGCTGCGTTTATATATGTGTGTATTTGTGAGTGAGTATGTATGTGTGTTTACCTGTGCTCAAGTGTAGCTCTTCGTTCGCAATATTTTCTACAAGGGTTCTGTCAGGTTTATCTTCCCTGCTTGCAGTGAGTGTTTATATATCCTTGATGTAGCCTATATAAGACTGAAACGTTTCGGAAGTATCTCTTCGAAACACGAGATTAAATCATAGCATGAAAATAAGTATTATAATAAGTAGTTATATAATTCTCCCATATATGCTTGTGCTACAACTGAAACTTTCAGCAGCATTGCCCCCAAGATCCATCAGTCTAAAAATGTGCATATATACATGTCACGGCCACTGAAGCAGAAACACGTATACTCTATATAAACCGTCTATTGAGCAAGCCCAGATTCCCTGTCAGTATTATAAGCGGTTCTGAGCAACGAATACCTCATCGCATTGCCTGGATTCGTCCACACTATATATCGCAGTCGCATGAATATGTCGCTACTGCCTGCACACATGTATATCGTTCAACATATCTTCTTAGGACTTTTCTTATACCCCAATTGATCGTCATCTGGCACACCGTAGGGATGGGTGAGTGCTGCATTGGTGAGTGATGCACAGGGCAGTAGTCATGGAGCGCGCTACTTCGAGAGGACAGCGGGGCTGGTAATGCCTGTGAGGGGGAAAGTGAGGCGCATCGGCGATGCGAAGACTGATTTTGAGCGTGCCCACAATGATGTGCTCACAGAAGACACGCCACAGGTATGTCTTAGCTCTGTGTGGGTTTGTATAACAAATTAAGTGAATTGGAGCCCGTGCCTGCAGGTCCTCTGGAATCGCGATAGTCTGGGTGTTGCTAAGCACTCGGGTGTTAGAATGTCCGGTCGTTTTCCTGTAGGTGGACACCCCATATGAAGATGCATATGCGCACCGTGTTCGGTCAGGTTGTTCCTTCTGTGCTTCACCGCCATATGCATACGAAAGGATGCACAATGCATACAGCGTTCTCTGCGCAGATATTTCTGATAAGTACCTTCTTTTTTTCGAACTGTGCTGTATTGCGGTACACATTGCTGACAGACCCTCTGATAATGATTTCAAAAGGAGATTAGTGGCAATTCCAATTTAACCATAAATAGTGCTGCGCATAGTCTTGGGTGTACGGAACGTGATTTCTGCCACGGTATACATACCATCGTCAGGATCGAGAGGTGTGTTGTAGGATCGTGAATACACTCAGTCCCTCCACTTCAATACCATCGTCAGGTAGAAGTCAACACCGGATCTACGCGCCAACTCCACCCGTCTGAACTAGAGCAAGCGATGCATGCACGTACTACTGGCATAAAAGAATGTGTAGATGCATCTAGAACGGGGCTTAGGTCTGAGGTATCCGACACGAGATGGGCATTGACCATGGTGGCGACCACCGAGCCAACCCGATTCTTTGTGGGCGACATATGGGCAAAGGACGATCGCGTAATCAATTCAGTAAGTCTCTGTAAGTACTTGTTGTGCCTGGAATGCCTCCTGGTTTGGTTAGTATGTGGGTTCCAGTAGGAAGCCGTTCGACGTCTGCGATTAAATTTCTTTCGTGATCTTCTCGCTCGTTTGCATGGCCGCACATATAGCACACGGATGTTAATATATAATCTGGTGTGTTGATGTGTAGGCCTATGCATAAAGAAATATTGCACATTCTGATACCTCGCGATATCAGACATGTACACGGATTAACATAACGTATGTAGCTGTACCGTACGGTGTCCTTTTATGGTGTCTATTATACATCCACATACTACGTATATGTATGTATTATATGTATATAGCCATTTGTGGTTTTATATGAACGGCAGGAATGTGCGGCTATCACAGCAGTTGTTATGGTTTTACCGGCTGCAGTAGAGAAATGGTGCACATTTCACATTACTAAATACCAAACACATATCATCGCACCATTCAGAGCTCCTTTTAGTGTATATACCGGCCTCTATTATCTGCTTACCGATGCAAAGATGACAGTATGCAATAAAAGCCTACCTACTTTATACAGATGTTTGAAGGCAAGGCGAACCGACACATGGCCACACGCTCACAAACAGAACTAAGACTGTCCAGACAAACCACCGGCTCCTTGTGGACTGCTGGTATCTCGACCATCATGGCACCATCGCACACAGGGTATGGAGCGTCGCGCTAGCTAGTTTTGTTATCTCTAGTCGTGCTTTGTATCGTACCGTATACCGGCTAATGAGTGTGATATCCGTGGCTGAATTAGTTGTCAAAGAGTATGATTTCCGGGACTGAATTAGTTATAAAAAGATGTGATTTCCGTGGCTGAATTAGATGTTGAAGAGTGTGATTTCTGTGGCTGAATTAGTTGTGGAGGGATGGACGATGATAATGTATCGATTTGTGTCTATATTGTTTCCCTCCTTCTCGAATGGCAGTTGGCTCGCCATCCGTGCCAAAATTTGGTAGTTGTCTTCTTAGTTATGTAGATCCTGGCCCACGCACCACAGTAGACCTAAATGGTTGGTCTTAATGCATGCACCACAGTAGACCTGAATAGTTGGTTTTGATTAGACCTGAATGGTTGGTCTTGATTAGACCTGAATGGTTGGTCTTGATTAGACCTGAATGGTTGGTCTTGATTAGACCTGAATGGTTGGTCTTGATTAGACCTGAATGGTTGGTCTTGATTCGACCTGAATGGTTGGTCTTGATTAGACCTGAATGGTTGGTCTTG